CTCTCCTCCCTCGGCCGCCCCTCCAGACCCCAGCCGGGCTCACGCTGCACATCCGGGTGCAGGATCATGAGCAGGAGGGCCCAGTCCAGCGTGGTGGAGGTGGTCACCATCCCAGCGGAGAACAGGTCAGCCACCACCAGGCGCAGGTTCTCATCATTGAAGCTGCTCTCGGGGTTTCCCTTGGTCTGACCGGGCAGAGAGGGTGGGCTCAGGGGGCAGAGACGGAAGCCCGCAAATAACCCTCCATTCTGCACCTGTCAGCCCTGGTCATAGGCTGGTGCACCAGCTCCACCCTGCCTGGCCTGGCCTGACTCCTCAGGGAACCCTCAAGCCCCAGCCCCTGCCCTTGTCCCTGGCAGCAGACCTCACCTTCTCCACCTCGGCCAGGAAGGCATCAGTCAGGTCTCGGGGTGGCTGGGCCGGGTCCCGGGTCATCCTGTGCTCGGTCACCAGCTCATCCAGCAGGGCCATGAAAGCCTTCCGTGCAGAGATGATCTTGACAGCCAGCGCCGGGATGCGCAGGAGCGCGGGGACAGCCATCACCACCTGTGCCATCACCGAAAGGGGCCTGGGTCCCTCCTGTGCTCAGCATCCACCTGCACCAGTCTCTAGTCCCAGAGCAGACGCACTGACTGCCTGTCCCCACCACTGACCTGGTCCCTCCCCAAGTGGGAGTCTCCACACTGTCTCCTGGCCCTGGGCTGACACAAGGATAAACCTACGATGGAAATCTCACCAGCTTGTTGGCTCCCAATGTGCCCAGGAGGCCCAGGCTCCTTGGCCCTCTCTCAGGTCCAACTAACCCTGAGGCACCTCTCCCATTAGCCTTGTCTGAGATTCCTGCCTCTTTCGTGCTCTTCCTCTTGCAGTGGGCTCTCCCATCGTCCTTGTGTGGAAGCCCAGCTGCAGGCGGAGGCACCTGCCTGTAACTCGCCCTGCACAGACTCCTGCAGCCCCTATCGCCCCCTGCACCTGCATCAGATAGCCAGATTCCTGCCGATGTCGCTCCTCAGTCAATTCCATTAGTCTGAGGAAGCGCTGGTCGTCGTACTCGAAGCGGCGTCCGTAGGTGAGGGACGCGATCACGTTGCCCACCGCTTTGTTCAGGAGCTCGCTGGGGCTAAAGGGCCGTCCTGGGGAGGGATGCGGCTCAGGGAGGCTCCTCTTCTCCCGCCCCAGCCCCACCTCCCTGGTCCTCCCCTGCCCCTGCACCCGTCACCCACCGGCGTGGTCTGCGAAGGCGGCACACAGGCAGGCGGCCTCCTCGGTCACCCACAGCTCCAGCGACTTCTTGCCCAGACCGAAGAAGCGCAGAGTGGACAAGGAGAAGCGCCGCTGCTCGCGCCATGCAGGACCGTAGCGCGCCATGATCACCCCTGGGGGCGGGGTGGCAGGTGGGCGTGGCCCGACTACTCTGTCCCGCCCACTTTCCCTCTTCCCCTCCGCGGGGCTGCGGCCCCGCCCACTCTGACTCTGCCCTCCCCCAGGTCTGACTCTTTCTTCCCCACTTTGGTCGCCTGCTCTCTGTGCCCTGTGTCGGGGAGGTCTTGGCCCCACCTGGGCCCTGCCCAACCTGTCCACGGTTCCACCCAGGGAGGAGGCTGCCTGTCCCCCCGCCCACACGGAGCCTGATGCCCCCGCGCGGCCGCCTTGAGTCGCCCCTCTGGCCCGTCCCGCCCCCACGGTCCCCGTCCCCCTAGCAGGCTGTTCCTTCGCCCTCTGGCCCCCAACCCACCCGCTGGCCTTTCTCTGGGTCCCAAGTCCACCGTCAGACGCCCACTCGCTCAGCTCGGTCTCTGGGAACTGCTCGCTCGCTCCGTTCCCGCCGCGACAGTCCCCTAGGGTCACTTGCCTTGGGCGTGTGGGCTGTAGCCCAGGTGATCAAAAACGGGCGAAGGCGGCCGGTCCGCAGTGTCCTCGTTGTGCTTCACTAGCGCCTCGCGCATGGCCTCCAGCCCGTTGAGCACGACCGCCGGCCTCGAGGCCAGCTGCAGGCTATACACGTTCCCGAAGCGGCGCCGCAGCTGTAGGAGGAGGGTCAGGTGTCCGTCAAGCAGGGGTCCCTGGGCTGCTGCTCCCGGGCCCACTGTTCAGGCCCTGTGGGACCGTGGGGCCTGCAGTAGCTCGCCAATTCAAGGACAAGATGTTTACTCCAGATCCTGGGGTCACATTCTCTATGGTTGAGGAGCTCAGTTTGCATCCAACAACCCAGCTATGACCTCGCA